AGAATAGAATAGAATAGAATAGAATAGAATAGAATAGAATAGAATAGGTTTATTGGCCAAGTGTGGTTGGACACACAAGGAATTTGTCTTGGTGCAAATGCTCTCAGTGTACATAAAAGAAAAGATACATTAGTCAAGAATCAAGAATCATAAGGTACAACACTTAATAATAGTCATAGGGTACAATAAGCAATCAAATCATACTAGGAAACAGTCAATATAAATTGACTGCTCATGAAAGCATCATCAAAACAAGGGAAAGAATTTCTGACCAACAAGGTGCCAAGAACAGCTGGCTCAACAAAGGATAATATTTGCAGCTCAGGGTTGTAATGAAGGGTCCTTACTGCTCTCTGAGTTTGGTTGTTTTCTTCCAGACATTTCATTACCATACTAGGTAACACCATCAGTGTTATTGAGGAATGGAGTTTGCTCTCAGTTTATATTCTAGAGGCTTGCCCTGCCAGTATTGGTGGGAATGGTCTTTGGTGGGCTGTTTACTGTTAGCTTGTTTGGGAGTTCCTTGATTGGAGTATTGTTTATTTCTTGATTGTTGGTCTGATGTTAATCGTGAAGTTAATCTATGCCCATCTGGGTGTTGATTGCTGGTAAGGATGTGTTTTTGGTCTTTTTATTCCTCTTTTGGCTTGTTGTCTCATTATGCGGATATTTATTTACATCTATGTGTCTATTGAAATGCTAGAGAATTCCAGGCTTCCGGGAATTCTCTAACATTTTTTGGATTTGCCTTGGTCTAGTTTCCCAGTTGGAACTATGGTTAAGTCTGTCCATATATTAAATTAAAGAGTTGTCATCATGTCTTCCATCATGTCAACCTAGCTCAGAGAATACCAAGGACCCCTCATAGACGACAAAAATAATATAGAGAAGAGCTGAATGCTTGTTCTGACCCACGCCCTTTTCCAACAAATCAAACACAATCCAAAAGGAACAGAAACCTTGTAATGCTTTTACAAAATAATTAGCTGTGATAAGCACAAATGTTGCCAAACTGTGCAAGACTTGCCAAAAGATAACAGACAAGAAATAATTTGCAATACAAGAATCTTCAACTACAAACTCAGGATACTGGAATGTCCACGAGGCTGGAGTTTCAAAACGTCTTTGCCTTCTGCAAAGCAGGTTAATTTCATAGCTGGCTTTTATCTTCTTGAAGGAGGGGCCATTACCTTGCAGCCTTACTCTGAGTCGCCCGTGCTGTTGTAACTGTTCTTTCCTCCAAGCAATCCTTCGTGCACACGCACTTAGCACAGGCTCCTTGGGAACCTCCTCATTGCTGCTGCCAGCTCCCACAATCTCTGAAGGCAGCAGTCCACTCCCTAATGGTCCTGGCCCCTCATCTGAGTCCTGGCTCTCCTCAGCCATCTGCACCTGCTGCCAGCAAACCACAACAATGCTAGCAACGAAGAAACCCAGGCCTCCTCAAGATAATGAGAAAAGGGAAGCAGAAATAGAACTGGGTATCCTTCAGGAAGAAGGCATGTGGGCAATGAGGCAGCTGTCAAACAACAAGGCCCCAGGTGTTGATACCATCCTGGGAGAATTGCTGAGGCCTGTACTGCCCACAACCGTCAAAGACTTGTGCCGGAAAAATCTGGAAACAAACAATGGCTACAGGCTTGGAAATGATCTGTGTTTGTCAAAAAAAAAGGGGGTGGGTGGGGTGGAGACACCAAGGATTGCTCCAATTGTCACACAATTTCCCTCTTATTAGCATGAAGAACCGTGGTGGAGCAGTGGCTAGAATGCAGTATTGCAGGCTAACTCACTGCTCACTGCCACCAGTTCGATCCTAGTTCTTTTACTAAATCTTCTTGGCAAGATTTTCTAAGAAGTGTTTTATCCTCGCCTTCTTCTTAGGGCTGAGTGAGATGGACTGGCCCAAGGTTACCCAGCTATCTTTCTGCCCAAGGCAGGACTAGAACTCTCAGCCTCCTCTGAGCCGTGATGGTGCATGCTGTACTGCATGCTAATTCTGCTGACTGCCGACTGCCAGCAGTTCGAGTCTCACCAGCTCAAGGTTGACTTCCATCCTTCTGAGGGTGGTAAAATGAGAACCCCAGATTGTTGGGGGCAACAGACTGACTCTATAAAATGCTTGGAGAGTGCTGTAAAGCATGATGAAGTATGTGAGTGTAAGTGCTATTGCTATCTATCTATCATCTATCTGTATGGCGCAGTGGTTAGAAAGTAATATTGCTTGACAACTGACTCACATTTATGACGGTAACAGTATCCCGGGGGTCATGGGATTCTATTTTGTGACCTTCTGACAAGCAAAGTCAATGGGGAAGCCAGATTCACTTAACAACCGTGTTACGGATTTAACAACGGCAGCGATTCACTTAACAAATATGGCAAGAAAAGTGTCAGGGTAATGATGATTTAATAGCTGACCAGCTGCTGTAAGGTTGTAATGCTGTAATACTGTAATAATGTAATGATGATGCAATAGTAGCAATGAGTCAACAGGGTTATTTAACTGCTACTTCTTTAAGAGGCTGTAATATGAGAGAGACCCTATGAGGGCCGTATCTCTCTCTCTCTCCATGTGTGCTTCCATGGTGTAGCTGATTACTCATTGCTGTTTGTTCAAGGCCTGTATCAAAGTACTTCTATGTATATATGTTTTTGTAGGGATAAAACCACTATATGTAAATACAAACCTCTGTGTGCTGTATTTGCTCCTAGGTTGTCTCACCTAGTCACATTGCGCGCACTCTGACAAAAAGTCATAAAATGAGGCAAAACTCACTAAATTTCTCACTTAGCAACATAACCTCTGGGCTCAACTATGGTCATGAGTCAAAGATTACCTGTAAGCTGAGGATAAAATTCTTCTCTTCAAAAAAACCCAATGTATCAGAAACAAACCTGATAACATCTGATCAAAAGGATTAAAGAAGAAAGTGAGAATTTTCACCTCTTCTTGAACATCAAACGAGCCAAGCTCATAACCACGTCAAGGAATGGAACTGCCAAAATAACAATTGACAGTAATGAGATCAAAAGCCCACAAGAATTTATTTTCCTAGCATTGCAGATTGATCAATCAAAACAGCGAATGCAATCCAGCAAAAAAAAATAATGTCAAAATTGAACCAGGTTAAGCAGCAATAATTAGTGTGAATTATGGAGCGTATATTTCCCTAACATTGCCGATTGATTAAAGCAGCTAATGCAATCCAGAAAAAAAAAGTGTCAAAATTGTACTGGGCTACGCAGCAATAATTAGTGTGAATTGAGTATGAAAAAATAAAAAGGGACATCAGCCTCGCAACTAAATGGAGATTAGTCTGCACTATTGTGTTCCCCATCACTACCTACGATTTTGAAAGTCGGACCATGAAAAAAACCAGACAGGAGGAAAATCGATTCATTTGAGCTGTGGCCTTGGAAAAGGCTCCTGCACATTCCTTGGATAGAGAAGATGACACACAAGCAAGTGTTGGAGCGCATAAAACCACGCGTGTCACTGGAAGTCAAAAATCACAACATTCCAGCAATGTCATGCAATCAAACTCACTGGAAAAAAAGTAGTTATGTTCAGAACGGTCAGAAATAAAATCATAAAAAGATAATAATAACCCCATGTTATATGATAGCAGTTTTTCCAATATTTGAAGGGTGGTCATGGAGAAAAGGGGGCTAATCTATTCACCAAAGCACCTGAAGGTGAGACAAGTAATGGAATTTAATCCTTAGCTACCAGCAATTCATGATCTGAACCAGGTATGTCTCAACACCAAGGACTGAACGGGACCATTGATGATTGCATAGTCAATCTAGTTTCAGTGTAAAGAAGAGCAACTAAGAGTCTAGAGCAGTGGTGGCTAACCTTTTTGGGCTCCTGTGCCAAAAATTGTGCACGCGCTTGCACGCTCACGTTCACGTGCCAGCACCCAGAAGGCAATGTGCACCCTCGACACCCCGTACGCATGCTCACGCAATCCCACCCCCACCCTCTTACCTGCACTGCGCCTCACAGCTGATTTTCGGCTGGTTTGAGGCCTTTTTCAGCCTCCCAAAGGCTTGAGGAAGGCTTCTGCAGGCTTTGCAGGCTGAAAACTAGCCCCGTTTTGTCACTTCCGATATTTTTGGAAAAACAGGAAGTGATGAAACGGGGCTAGTTTCCGGCCTGCAGAAGCCTTCCTCAAGCCCTTGGGAGGCCGAAAAAGGCCTCAAACTGGCTGAAAATCAGCTGTGAGGCGCACGCATGCTGAAGGTAAGTTTGTCTGCAGCTTGCGTGCTGGCACAAATGGCTCAGCATGTCACCTGTGGCACGCATGCCATAGGTTCGCCATCACGGGTCTAGAGAAAAGAAGGACTAGGAGGGAAATGATAACAATATTCTAGTATTTGAGAAGCTGCCACAAAGAAGAGGGGGGTGTCAATTTGTTGTCCAAAACACCAGAAGGCAGGACAAGAAACAATGGATGGAAACTAATCAAGGAGAGAAGCAACCTGAAATTAAGGAGAAACTTCCTAAAAGTGAGAACAATTAATCACTGGAATGGATTGCCTTCCGAAGTTGTGGGGGCTCCATCCCCGGAGGTTTTAAGAAAAGATTGGACAGCCATTTGTTCAGAATGATGTAGGGTTTGCTGATTGAGCAGAGAGTTGGACTAGAACAGTGGTCACCAACCAGTGGGCCGGGGACCACTGGTGGTCCGCAAGAACATTTTGGTGGTCCACAGAGAAATGTCACCCCAAATCACCCCGCAAAGCAATTAATCCAGGCTGTGTGGGAACACAAGGCTGCACCACCCACATGGCCCAGGGGAAGACAAGGCTTGTGTCGCTGGGCTGCTTCTTTCCGCTTCTTTCTTCTTCTGCTTTTGGCTGCACGCAAGGAAAGCAGCAAAAGTCTCCCTTTCTCTCCCCCAAACTCTGCCAGAAATGAGTCTTTGGGACCCCGCAAGGCATCCTGCTCCAAGAAGCTGCGCCAGCAAAGACTTATTTCTGGAGAGTTTGGGGGAGAGAAAGAAAGACTTCTGCTGCTTCTGCTGCTTTCCTTGCATGAAGCCAAAAGTCTCTCTCTCTCTGTCTCTCTCTCTCTCTCTCCCCTGAGAATGGAGCTGGAGACGGTATCCTGCAATCCCAAATAAAGAATGATCAATCGGTAGGAAAACGGGGTGGGGAATTTTCCTGCACACTTTTTGGGATTTTCCCAGGGTCTCTGGTCCGCGGGATTTAAAATTATGAGTTTGGTGGTCCCTCAGGTCCAAAAGATTGGCGACCCCTGGACTAGAAGACCTCCAAAGTCCCTTTCAACTCTGTTATTCTATAGTTCTCTAATCCAATTGCTTCCAGTTCAGAACTCGTCTTTCAAGATTACACTCCTTTGGTCCATAAAGCCTCTGCTCGTTAACATCTAAATCCAGGTTTTCTTTTTCTCAAAGCTGGTACTTTCATTTTTGAAATCTTCGTTCCGATGGCTCCGGTTGGTAAAAACATTCCATAACAAGAAGGGTTTTTTTTTTTTTTTTTTACCTTTGATCAAATTATTCACTTTTGATTGCCTGTCAGCTCCATGCCTTGGTTTGCCGAGCAGAGGGAGCTGGACTCTGTTAACACATTTATTTCCATGAGTGCCCAGAAGCCATAGCTTTCAACGTGACCCATGTTAATCGGGGCGACAATCAATCCGACATGAAATTCAAATGGTGTACTCTCATGATATTGAATGGCTTTGCTTGGAACAGATTTAGTCTGACTCTTTAGCCGAGACCTGTCTGATATGATTGACCTGACGACCAGGAACTGCTCTTTTGGAAAATGGTGGCTATTATTACTCTCATTTAAAAGGCCAGAATGTGACAGGATGTCTAACAGGCTCTGAGAAAGGAGGGAAGGAAGAAGGATTGTTGGTCCAAAGGGCCACCTAAGCTCAGGGGAGGGAAGGAGGCTCAGGGTAATTCTGTCTTAATTACCCTAGGAGTAAGTTAAATAGGATAACTGTGTTGATAGGCTTCCTGGACTCTGATACATTTCTCCATTAATAACACAGTTTTTTCTAGAAGTTCTTCTACTAAATCTTCTTGGCAAGATTTCCTAAGAAGTAGTTTGCCCTTGCCTTCTTCCTTTGGCTGGGAGGGGGGGGGGACTGGCTCAGAGGTGGTCTTCAGCCGGTTCTGACCAGTTCTTGAGAACCGGTAGTGGAAATTTTGAGTCGTCCGGAGAATCAGCAAATCCCACCTCTGTCTGGCCCCGCCCCCATCTATTCTCTGCCTCCCATTGAGTCCCAACTGATCGGCTGGGTCTTCTTTTGTTGCCCTGTACAGGAGAATGGAGCTGCAAAGCAGGTTAGTGGGGTGGGGAGCAGAGGTGGTATTCAGCCGGTTCTGACCAGTTTTCTACACACACAGAAAAAAGTGACTTAGGACCAGTTTTCACACTTACGGCCATAGCAGCATCCCCCCCACCATGGTCACACAACCAAAATTCAGCCACTTGGAAACTGACTCAAATTTATGACGGTTGCAGTGGGATTCTATTTTGCGACCTTCTGTCAAGCAAAGTCAATGGGGAAAAAGCCCAATTCAGTTAACAACCGGGTTGCTAACTTAACAGCTGCAGTGATTCATTTTAACAACTGTGGCAAGGAAGGACATAATATGGGACAAAACTCGCTTAGCAACTGTGTTATTTAGCAATGAAAATTTTGGCCTCGATTGTGGTTGTAAGCCAAGGATTCACCTGTGTAGTTATTGTTTTCTTTTTGAGTTTAAAAAAAGGAAAAAAAGACATTCATAAAATTTAGGGATGTTGGCAGTTACCAAATTCCAGATACCTGCACAGGTATAAGTGGCAGGTGTCCATCATAGCTATGTCCGTTCTCTTTTACTTACCGACTGTAGCAGCTGTGCCTGGGTAAAACCGTTCTTCGCAGAATTGCTTTAAAAAGGACGTTTTTCCCACAGCTGAATTCCCCACCAGAACTATCTTGAATATACGATCCGGAGCCATGCGGAATGCTTCCTCCTTCACACAAGCACAAATATTAGGTGTTTGGGGTTGCCTTGTGAGGCTTAGGATAAAAAAGAACGCAATATGTAAATGAGAAATGGCTGGGCGGTTCTTTTATGTAGGATTGATAAGACAATGATTGTGTCATGCCCTCGTTGGAGTCTGATTCCGAGGGAGAGGTGGAACAGCTGACAGGGAGTGGGAGTGTGGCTCTGGTGGCTGTGGAAGAAACGGGGGAAGGGTACAGTCCGGCTGAGCATTCAGAGGAAGACCCAGGGCTATCCCTTCTTCATCCTAGGGCACGCAGGGAGGAACGGAGAAGGGAGCAATGTGGCTTAAGGGGGAGAAAAAGGCCCTGATCCCTTTCATTAGTTGCAGCTGGGAGAACAGGATATAAGTGAGGCGTTTTACACAGCTCCTTGCTGGAAGCAAAGTGTGCATTATCTTTGTCAGGCTTATCTGGGTTTTGGTGTCCTCCCAACTGTGGTTGCTGCATTATCTTGTGGAAGTCTGCAATTTATCATCCTGGCCTGCAGTGCTAATTACTTCAGTGTGGTTTGTGTTGCTTTTTTTATTTCTACTTTATCTGTACTGCATTTCTTCCCTTTGTAGACTGTTTTTGGAACAGTTTGATCTCCAGCGAGGATAACTGGACATTGGGGGCTAAATTGGGGGTATTAAAGGGAATTTATTCTACTTTGGTGACTGTTATTTTTGTGTCACGCCCCGGGTCATCACAGATTGATCATGATAAAGATGATAGTATTTTTGCCTTGCGTAAAATCCCAAAACAACTGGAGCACCACTTGGATACCAGTGGCATTGACAAAATTCCTCATCGGTCAATTGCAAAAGGTGGGTTTACTCAGAATAGCTTACATCCTGCGATAATATATGTAACACCATCAAACATCCACTTTTGCCTATCCCAAATCCTTGAGAAAGTCTTAGTAGGTAGACAAAAATGCCAAATCCAGCCTGAATATCGGGCTAACTGCAATGAACCATAATAACAATGATCAAATATTAAAATACAGGATGTATAATTACATAAAGCATTAAAAAAGTTAAATTAAAAGAACAATGCAATATAGTTTTAACCCTTGCTTACAGTAGGAAATCTCACTACTGCTTTCTTGATCATTTCTACTCCTGAGTTTTACATTTCTTGTTCTTCAAATAGAAGCAAGAGTACAACATTTCTCATTTTACCTCTTTATAATATTAATGTAACCTCAGATTGAATAAGGAAAGTACACCTTTCTTTACATTTTTCCTCGTTATATATAAACGTGACCGTTGGAATCTATTCACATGTGGTTTAAACTTTTTGCAAATGAGACCAAAGTATTTATGACAATTTGATTCAGAACTAATAATGAAAGAGCTTATGTACTGCTGTTGCCTTCTTTACCTAACTTTATACCCAGATAGGTATAATCTCATTGTGAATTTTTAGAAATGTATTAATAATGCCTTGGTAAGACTTCTCTTGGAATAGTGCATCCAGCTTTGGTCACCACAATATAAAAAAAATGTTGAGACTCTAGAAAGAGTGCAAAGAAAAGCAACAAAGATGATTAGGGGGATGGAGGCTAAACATACGAAGAACGGCTGCAGGAATTGGTTTTTGTCTAGTCTAGTGAAAAGAAGGATTAGGGGTGACATGATAGCAGTCTTTGGGCTGCCCCAAAGAAGAGGGAGTCAAGCTATTCTCCAAAGCACCAGAAGGCAGGACAAGAGGCAATGGGTGAAAACTAATCAAGGAGAGAAGCAACTTAGAACTAAGGAGAAATTTCCTGACAGTTAGAACAATTAACCAGTGGAACAACTTGCCTCCAGAAGTTGTAAATGCTCCAACAGTGGAAGTTTTTAAGAAGAGACTGGGCAACCATTTGTCTGAAATGGTATAGGGCTTCCTGCCTGAGAAGGGGGTTGGACTAGAAGACCTCCAAAGTCCCTGCCAACTCTTGTTATTCTACTAGTCTGTTGATTTTGCCAAAAATGCACTTCATCCAAAATAAAATCTAAAAATAAAATCTGCAAGAAAACAACCCACTTCCGAGAACACCAAGGACCTCACAGTTCAACCCTGAGCTACAAATATTCTCTTCTGTAAAATCTAAATAGTAGTTTTGCTCCTTACATTTGTCAAGTTTTCTTTTCCTATGGGCTCTTCCCTAGGTGAGGCGTGAGCTTGTTCAACCTGTGACTGCTGTTGGACTCCATTCACGTCTGGTCCTCGTTCGTCTTCATCTACTTCGGACCACCGTATTAGTTGCCTCTCTGTCCTATTGAGAAGATGTGGTAGATGGTCTTCTTCAATGGATATTAGCCTCCTGAAGTGCTTCCTCTGGGTCAGCCCCACAGGCTTAGGGGGCTCAGAATCTAATGAAAAATCCACATTCATACTAAGGGAACTTCTTATTTGGGATGCACTAAACGTCTCATCTTCTGAAGGCTCGCTGCAAAGGGATGAGGAAAAACACACAACTCAGTAATTTCTAACCTAGTGGAAATTTGAACGTTGCGTCATATTTTTCATACCTGAACCAGAGGTGGGTATTCAGCAGGTTCTGACCGGTTCTGGAGAACCAGTAGTGGAAATTTGGAATAGTTCGGAGAACCGGCAAATACCACCTCTGACTGGGGATTTTGCAGTATAGCCTTCCCCTGCCACGCCCACCATGCCATGCCCACAGAACCGGTAGTAAAAAAAATTGAATCCCACCACGGGTCTCCAACCTTGGCAACTTTAAGACTTGTAGACTTCAACTCCCAGAATTCCTCAGCCAGTTTTGATGGCTAAGGAATTCTGGGAGCTGAAGTCCACAAGTCCTAAAGTTGCCACGGTTGTAGACCCCTGTTTTAAATGAATCAATGATGGCTGAATGAATAATACACAGAAATAGGTATTCAACCAGAGTTGGTATATTCAGCAGGTTCTGACCATTTCTGGATGGAGAACCAGCAAATACCACCTCTGACTGGAGATTTTACAGTATCCTTCCCCTGCCACGCCCACAGAACCAGTAGTAAAAAAAATTGAAACCCACCACTGACCTGAACTCAAACATAGTTGAGGAATATCCAGTACATGAACAATTTTCAAAATATTGGAAGAACATTCAAACCTTTGCAAGTCAGCGCCTTTTCGCTCTAATTCAAAATTATATATTATCTTTTATTTCAATGAAATGCAACTATTAAGCACCAATCAATAGAGCCACGTTTACTTTTTAGAATGTGTTAGGGAAAATTTGCTTCTCACCATCACTTCCATGGTTTCTATAACCATTGGTTCCTTTAGGGAAAGATGTCTATGGCTGACCATCTGTCTAGGACATTTCAGAAAATATGAGAAATTGAAGCTCTTGTCCTGCGACTTTTTATATATAGAACTTATTCCTCAAGTTAAATTTTATCCTCAGAAATTTAATTTTTAAACTTCTTTTTAATTTATTATTATTTTCAAGGAAAAGGGAATAATACAGTAAAGAAGAAAAAACAATGCAAGCAATAGGATGTACGTAGATAGCCAACAAATGAGGAATAACCCAGCAGATTGAAAATAGCATATGGCTAATTGCACTCGTGTCAGAAGCACTGAGGCACTTCCGGGTTGAAAGGATTATTTAGCAGGTGACATCACCATTAATAATGGGATACCCAGTTGGGGGCTCCTTTCAAGTCCCTGGCAGGAGCTGGAGCGAAGGACAGGAGCTCAACCCTATCCAACGCCAGAACGCGGATCTTGAATGCAGGCTTGCTAATCTCCATCCCAGCGTTCGTGCTCCTTTAGATCAGTGGTCGTCAACCAGTGGGCCGGGGACCACTGGTGGTCCGCGAGAACATTTTGGTGGTCCGCAGAGAAATGTCACCCCCAAAACAATTAAGCCAGGCTGCACGGGAACACAAGGCTGTGCCGTCCATATGGTCTGTGGGAACACAAGGCTTGTGTCGCTTGCACGAGGTAGTGAAGGGAGGGGGGAAAGGGGGAACTTGCCCCACGCGTCCCTCACACCCTGGCTGGCCACTGGTCTGCTTCTTTCCACTTCTTTCTTCTTCTGCAAGGAAAACAGCAAAAGTCTTTCTTTCTCTCCTCCAAACTCTGCCAGAAATGAGTCTTTGGGACCCTGCAAGGCATCCTGCTCCAAGAGGCTGTGCTGGTGTGACAAGTCTCACAAAGACTCATTTCTGGCGGAGTTTGGGGGAGAGAAAGACTTTTGCTGCTTCTGCTGCTTTCCTTGCATGAAGCCCAAAGTCTCTCTCTCTCTCTCTCTCTCTCTCTCTCTCCCACCAACATCAGCAAGCCACCGTTAGTCAAAATTCATATTAGTGGTCCACGGGATTTAAAATTATGAGTTTGGTGGTCTCTGAGGTCTAAAAGGTTGGTGACCCATGCTTTAAATGGCTAATGTATTTTAATAAATCATTAACAACTTAACGTACTACAGGTAGTCCTTTACAATGGTTTGCTTAGTAACCATTCAAAGTTACAGTAACATGACCACTTTTCACACTTATGACCGTTGCAGCATCACCATGAAATTTACATTCGGGTGCTTGACAACTGACTCACATTTATGACGGTTGCAGTGTCCCAGGCTCCTGTGATCCCCTTTTGTGACCTTCTGACAAGCAATGATTTATTTAACAACCGGGTTACTAATTTAACAACTGCAGGGATTCACTTAACAAATGTGGCCAAAAAAGTCGTAAAAGCAGGCAAAACTCACTTAGCAATTTTCTCACTTAGCAACATGAATTTTGGGCTCAATTGTGCTCGTAAGTTGAGGACTACCTGTATAAGATATTCCATGTGAAGTTTCTAGTCAAGGGATATTTCCAGCAAATTGTAAAAAATGCCTTTAAATAAAAACAATATATTGGGGAAAAAATAGTACAGCGTTTTTCTTGCTGTACTGTGAATACTGTCCAATTCTGTAAGTTATCTACTACTACTACTACTACTACTACTACTACTACTACTACTAATAATAATAATAATAATAATAATAATAATAATAATAATAATAATAATAATAATACAAAAAGGAAGACTTACCTCTTCAGTGAACTTCTTCTCTCGATATATTTGCCAATAATTGAGCCTGACCTTTGCTTCTGACTGACAGGGGCCTCATAGCCAGATTTCTGTAGAAAAATTGTTTTAAAATGTCAAAATATACTTCATAAAATGATAGAGGTTATGCCGGAACGTCAAAATTATATCCATAGGCTTGTTTCTATCAGGTAGTCCTCGACTTACAACCACAATGGAGCCCAAAATTTCTGTTGCTAAATGAGACATTTGTTCAGTGAATTTTGCCCCATTTTATGACCTTTCTTCTCATGGTTGTTAAGTGAATCATTGGAGTTGTTAAGTTAGTGACATGGTTGTTAAGTGAATCTGGCTTCCCCATTCTGCTTGTCAGAAGGTCACAAAAGGGGATCATGTCATATGACTCCCGGGACACTTTAACTGTCATAAATATGAGTCATTTGTTAAGCATCCAATTGTAAATCACATGACGGTGGGGATGCTGCAACAGTCATAAAGGTGAAAAATTGTCACTTTTTTCAGTGTTGTGGTAACTTCGAACGGTCACTAAACAAACGGTTGTAAAGCGAGGACTACCTGTAGCATTTTAAGTTGTTAATGATTTCTAATACATGAAAATTTTCTCTTTCAACAGCTCTAGGCTCTGTCTCCAGTGTCCATCAGCTTCTAGAAAAATCCTTCATCCCGCTTTGGGTCATTGATTAGACCAGTGGTGGCTAACCTTTTTGGGCTCTTGTGCCAAAAATTGTGCGTGCGCTTGCATGCTCGCGCGCCAGCATCCAGAAGGCAATGCACACACACCATGCCCCCCATGCATGCACGCGCAATCCTCCCTCCCGCTGCCCCCACCTCACAACTGATTTTCAGCCGGTTTAAGGTCTTTTTCGGCCTCCCAGAGGCTTGAGGAAGGCTTTTGCAGGCTTCTGCATGCTTTGCAGGCCGAAAACTAGGCCTGTTTCGTCACTTCTGATATTTTCAGAAAAACAGGAAGTGACAAAACGGGGCTAGCTTTCGGCCTGCAGAAGCCTTCTTCAAGCCTTTGGGTGGCCAAAAAAGGCCTCAAACTGGCCAAAAATCAGCTGTGAAGTGTGTGCATGCATGGTGACGTAAGTTTGCCTGCAGCTCTCATGCAGACATAAATGGCTCTGTGTGCCACCTGTGGCAGGCGTGCCATAGGTTCGCCATCATGGGATTAGACCAAAGGTCTTCAAACTTGGCAAGCTTAAGACTTATGGACCTCAACTCCCAGAATTCCTGAGGTAATATCACTGGAGAAGGAATTCTGAGAGTTGAAGTCCTCAAGTCTTAAAGCTGTCAAGTTTGAAGACCCCTGGATTAGACAACGGGTATTGATCAGGGCATGAGTAGGATGAAATATCTGGTCTCAAGACATGGATCTTCTAAGTGTGAGGTGGGGAACGATGGCCCTTTTATGACTTATAGACTTCAACTCCCAGAGTTCCTGAGCCAGCATGGTTCCTAGTCAGCATGGCTGGCTGAGGAATTCTGGGAGTTGGAGGCAGCCTTGTAATTGAGATCTGAATTTCAAAAAATCCTCAGATGATCCAGGTGGGATTGCTACATAAGCCGAGTGCCGGACAATTAAGCTCCAGAGTTTCTAGTCTCTGATGGAATCATTATCAAAAAGTAATAAATACATATTTTGGTATGGAGGATATCACACTGAATCAAAAGGACATGGTCAGTCAGTGTGCTGCTCCTGGTTTCAAGACAAGGGGCTTATAATGACCAATAAATCGTTTCATCATCTGTCATTCTGACAGGGGACCCTCTGGCCATCCAGAAAGCTGAATCTTTTGTTCTCCTATGGGGAATGACGGCCCTTTTATGACTTGTGGACTTCAGCTCCCAGAATTCCTTGAGCCAACATGGCTCCTAGTCAGCATACCTGGCTCAGGGAATTATGGGAGTTGAAGTTCACAGATCGTAAAAGGGCCAGCGTTTTCCCCATCCCTGCTCTGAGTGACCTGAACGAGAGAGTGGCAATTTCCTTTCTCCTGTTGCATTTTGTGTCTTCTCTTTAAAGGCATTAAATAGAAAGAAGACAGATATATGATGAAGTTAAATGAATACAAGCAGTCCTCAATTTTTAACCATTCCCTCAGCAGCTCCGGGCCTCCTGAGGCGCCCTTATGCTCTGCATAAGGACTGCAATGGGAAGAGCTGGGATGGGATGCTTTGTTTAATGACAGCAACAACTTAATGACTGTAATTCTGAGCTCAGTTGTGGTCGTAAGTTAAGGACCACCTGAATTACAATCGTAATTGTAATCACAGCATCCATATTGTTCATAATAATGGCTGCTGCAAGACATGTCCTGCTCAAATTAAGACTCCCAAATTCTACCGTAGAGCACAGAGCCTGCATTGTTTAAATGGGGTGGAATTTGAAGTTTTAATTGTGAAGCTACAGTTAACGGGTTTTGTCTAAAGTTTTCGTGTGTGTGTGTATTCCAAAAAGCTATGAACGTACCCGCTGAAGACACACGTCCCGTTCATCACTCAGATATTTGTTCCTTTCTCTGTGAAAAGGGAGGGAGGGAGGAGATGGAAATGACAGGAAGGAAGGAAGGAAGGAAGGAAGGAAAAATACCAAAATTAAAGGATATCTTTCATGATTTCCCATTTACCAGTAAACTTTTCCACTTTGGGGGGAGAGTATTTATCCTGGAGAAATCATCATCATCATCTTTTTTTAATGACCCCATAATCCCTTGCGGGGTGGAATCTGGGCAACTGAATAGAGCTAATAGAGTGTTTACTGGCCGGATGCCTTTCCTGTCACCAATGCGGAGTTTTGTTCAGCAGATATATTCTCATTGTGCCCAGAGAGAGAGAAATATCTGCCTCTATCTACTTCTTCTATTCTATTGTACTCCACTTTTCCAATTTGGGGGCAGGGTATTTATCCTGGTCAAATGGTTGTACTTTATTCCTGTTTTGTTTTGTGGGGAAATTCTGGGATGTCATTTTTAAAAAGTAGGTTCTGAATATTAGAATTTGATATGTTTCTTCTGCTGGTCAATTACAGAGTGACTAATGAAGGATGGAGCCAAGCAGAAGAAGACAGAACCAGTTCTGAGCAGCTCTAAGTCGAAAACTATTCCATGCACAACTAAATCAAGACAAATGAGGTATGATCAAAGGAGGGTCTGGGTTAGCCTTGTACAAATTAAACTATTAAGAAAATTGGCCAGAAAACAGTTTGGTTTGTTCCGTATTCAATTCGGTTCCTGGAGGGCCTCCCCAAATACCGTCCTCCTAGAATCCAAAGGTAGACAGCCTTCAGCTTGAATCTGCTGCCAGCTGCTCTGGTCCCATAGAAGAGGAAGGAGAATGGAGGCTCCCCTTCCTCCCATTTTCTCCATTTTCACTGGCAGAGGGTGGCAGGAGGCCGTCACGACCAAAAACGGAGCTTGGGAGCCTGTTTTTGCTGGCAGGAGGCCACCACAGATGCCCCCAACATGAGTGATGTCAAGCCGGCCACACCCACCCAGGCCACGCCCATCCCACCCCCCCACAAGGTAAAACACAACCCTGATGCAGCCCTCAATGAAATCGAGTTTGACACCCGTGAATTAAAGTGATTTATTGCTAAAATGCCTGTGCACAGGAATCTTCTCAATGAGCTCTTAGCACCAGCTTAAATTTTAGATAAAGGTCCATTGAATTCAAGGGAAGTTGAACTTAGTTCTCTTGTGACTACGTAGGGATCCTAGGCTGATTCCTCTTTTAATTCCACCCCTAGATGCTGCCATCCTTTCTCCTACACCAACCAATACAGGTAGTCCTCAGCTTACAACAGTTCATATAATCACTGTTCAAAGTTACAACGGCACTGAAAAAAGTGACTCATGACCGTTTTTTCACCCTTACGACCATTGCAGTGGTCACCTGATCAAAATTCAGATGCTTGGCAACCAACTCATATTTATGACTGTCGCAGCCTCCCAGGGTCACGACATCCCCTTTGGTGACCTTCTGACAAAGAAAATCAATGGGGAAGCCAGATTCGCTTAACAACCATGTTACTAACTTAACAACTGCTGTGATTCACTTAACGGCTGCTGCAAGAGAGGTCGTAAAATGGGGCGAAACTCACTTAACAAACGTTTCACTGAGCAACATAAATCTTGGGCTCCATTGTGGTCGTAAGTGGAGGACTACCTGTACATGATCCTGTTGTTTCAGGAACTTGAATTAACGTACTGTCCTTCCCGGACTGGTGTTTCTCAGGACCTAAAAATTAATGAATACAACAGAGGTACTACTGGAGCAGGGATGAACCATTTGTCAGTTCTCAAAATGATTTTGTTCTTTTTGAAAATACTGGCTCATGATTAGGAGGTGCTACTTAATTTTTGTCATTAATGGAAGCACCAGTGGCCTCCCTGTCTCACAGGCCCATCTAGAATGATCCAACCTAGAATTTATAATAAATGCTTCAATTTTACTGGGAAAAATATGTATATGGATGCAATCCCTGACCTGTTTTTATTTCAACAAACAGCTCTGTCCTCTTTACACAATGCCACAAAGAGCACATTCATCAAAAAGGAAGATGACTTCCACACAAAGACACACACACACACACACACACACACACACACACACAAAGAGACACAAAGCTTGTTTTGGAAATCTTCTTACCTCAAAAAATCCAATTGTTTAAGGAGTCCTAATTTCTCCCTCTCTAATATTTCTGTCACTCGGCAAACCTCACTGGAGAAAAAATAAAACAAGAGTTATGCAAAATCCAGTTCAACCTACTTAGACGAAATACCAATAGAGCTGTGATTTACCCTCTCTTGTTAAGTATTGCACTAATAACTACAGAAATGGTCCAAATTCCTAATTACTCCAGTTTATTTACTGTTAATGGCTACTTTTAATCTAAATCTGGTCAGAAAATTGCTCTTGAGACACAATAAAAGTAAAATCTTCCAGTGTGGGAAGATTGTTAAACTTTCATTTTTATGGGGGGCGGGAATCCACAATTTTACAGATGCAGCATTAGTTCAATGAAGCTCTGGAGACCCTCCTCAATTTTAATGAAGCGAAATCAGCAAATTTTATACCATGTCTTGCTGAACGTTTGTCTGTTCGACTTATTGTTTATTCTCTCTCCCAGATGATCCAAATCATAATCTAATAAAAGAATCTGCAGTGATGTAATACAATTAATGCTGCTTGTAATAAGTGTCGTTTAAATCTCTTCTGTCATAATAAAAAGAGACTTTTTTTAAAAAAAATCATGGACTAAAATTCCATGAAAATAAAAACAAATGAGAAGAATGCCCAGCACAAAAAACACAGTGCTCTTGAAAGCCACCGGAAAAAGTGTTATTTGTGTTCTAACAGAGTGATGAACTATCTTTTCATATCTAGGGGAGAGAAAGTGTGTGCTGTGGTTTTGCACTTGATGCAATCCCAAAGATGGGCTGTGAGCAAGCAGAGCCCTTAAATCGGGCACTGAGGATTTGGAAACCGAAACAGGTATGGCTTTCCTACTCAAAGATGCATCCTTGGACAATCATTCATAGTGGTGGGTTTCCAAATTGTTTCCTACCTATGCACGCACGCTTTGGAGGGCTTAACGCTAGTAAGCTGAGCTGTTTTTAGCTCAGCTGAGGCGCGGCAATCGCTCTGCCGCGCGAATCAGCTGAGGTAAAAAACAAGGGAATATAGGAGAGGTAACAGCAGGGGCAGATGGGCGGAGCCAATCAGAGGTAGCATTTGCCGGTTCTCTGAACTAGTCAAAATTTACGCTACCGGTATGCCAGAACCGGTCCGAACCGCCTGAATACCACCTCTGGTCATTCACCATTTTTTCAAACCATCCAGAGATATAAAGCAAATAACAGTTTACCAATTCAGAATGTAATGCCTTCACAACAGCTATTCTGGAGGGGAGTTACCACATATCTGAATTTCACAACATTTTGCTCCTGTACAAGGTAGTCCTTGAACTTGCAACCGTTCATTTAGTCACATTGAGTTACCATTCAAAGTTACAACGGTGCTGGTTTATGACCATTCGTCACATTTACGGCTCTTGCGGCATCCCCATACTCAGGCAATTGAAATTCACACCTTTGGAAGCTGGCTCATAGTTATGACGGTTGCAGTGCCCCGGGGTCGTGTCAATGGAGCAAAGTCAATGGAGAAGCCAGATTCACTTGACATTTGTGTTATTAACTGCAGAGATTCACTTAACAACTTTGGCAAGGAAGGTCATAAAATGGGGCAAAACTTAGTCAACAAATGTGTTGCGTAGCAACAGAAATTTTGGGCTCAATTGTGGTTATAAGTCAAGGACTACCTGTAGTAGAGTTACCGCAACACTCACCCACATTTTTTTTTGTCTAGTTCACATTACAAAGATGCTCAGTTGCAATTAATAAAACCTTATTTGGGCAAATTTCCAGGCCACCCGCAGACTTTTTCCTTCCATTGGCCACTCTCTGATCGGTGTGATTTTATTTGTGTAATAAAGTATCTATCCTTTTATAAAATCAATCTCCTTATATTAATTCCTCTTTTCTAGAATTACGCACATTTCCTTTTCCTCCTGCAGTTTTCTAGCTTCATCCTGAAGTATTTCCAATTGCTGTTGAGCAGTAATTAACTCCTCAGAGGTTCTCTCCAGTGAATTCAGAAGCTCTTGGTTAGTAACCCTCAATTTGGTATTTTCCGTCGTAGTGTCATACTTAACGTTACGTAGCTCTTTGCATTGTTTGTCCAACTGTATAAATAGAACAACCATATTTTTTTAAAAAAAATGAGCGGAATGGATTTTTAGTCCATAAAACACCTCCAGAGTGGGTTTCTTTTTAATTTATTCTTATTGTTTTTAAAACTATGGCAGAAAAAAGAAGAAAAACACATAGCTATAATGCAAAGACATACATTTTTAAGGAAAAAGAAATCTATATATAAAGATTTAGCGAAGACCTCTAGATGCCCCAAAGTCAAATCAATTTTAAAAAATGTTAGTGATTTTCATTTTAATATCCATTTGAAACGTCCCAAAGGTGTTTTTTTCAAGAGGCAACAGGACTTTCTTGTTTTTCTTTGAAGATGTTTTGCTCCTCATCCAAGAAGCTTCTTCAGAGCTGAAGAAGCTTGTTGGATGAGGAGCGAAACATTTTCAAGAAAGACATATAATATATATATATAACGAATATAATAGAGACCCAGAAGATGAACAGACCTATGGAACAGCTGTCCTGCCCTACATAAGAGGTACTACAGACAAAATTAGTAAGGTACTACACAGACATCACATCAGGACTGCCTTCAAAACAGACAGAAAAATAGCAGCCATCCTTAGCAACCCCAAAGATAAAATTGACCTGGAAAACCAAGGCATATACGAAGTCCCCTGTGCATCATGCCCGGCCACATACATTGGACAGACCAATAGAAGAATAAGCACCCGCCTGGATGAACACAAAAATGCAGTCAAAAAGCTGGAACACACTTCCTCACTAGTCCAACACATGGAAGCCACAGGTCATAGCATCAACTTCAATGGCACCAAAACCCTGGCCACTATAGAAAACCCTAATCACAGAATCATCAGAGAAGCCATAGAGATTGAAAAAAGACCAGAAAGCATGAACAGAAGAGATGATTCCACCAGGCTGTCAATCATTTGGAAGCCTGCACTCACAAACAAAAAAATCTCCACACCACAAGCCAGGCAAACACCTGGGCACAAACAGATCCCCCCTGATAC